GGTGTATCGTCCTACCCGTACGATGCATAATGGCTTGTCGAGTTGTTGTAAGACCCATATCCAGCGTTGCTGTTTTCGTACCCGTTCGAGTAGCCACGGTCACCACCGCGACCGCCGCCGCCGTATCCACCGCCGCCGCCGCCGTAACCGCCGCCGTAGGAAGACATGATGTGAGAGTGTGTTGTAGAGACTGGCGTCAAGGGGGAACCGATCGAGTAAGGGAGCGTGGGTCGAAGTCTGGAGACTACGAGAAGATATTAGTTGCAGTAGAGCGACTGTAAAAGTGTCGCGTGTTGTGCGATAAAAGAAGCACAAATTGTAGAGTTGCGAGTTGGGGTGAGAGGAAGTCAGAGGGCAGAGCGCGACAGGAAAAGTTGCCTTGCCTCTGTTGCGCTTGCACATTTTTTGAGACGCTAGCGCCGCTAGCACCAGGGTCTCGCCCAGTTGGGTAAGGGCGGAGCTTGCCGTTATCAGCCCGGGGAAGCCACCACGAAAACCGAAGACTATGTCGCCACTGTGGGCCTTGCATCTGGGTGATTGCGAAGCATTTTCCATTGCGACCCGCATATTGCACGCCTAGTGCCTACTTCTCGAAGCAATGCGACAATGTGAAAGTATACCGATGACGAGACAACCCGATGCTTTCCCATCAGATAGGATACAGTCCTGTGCCCTGGTTCTCACCTTGGCCCATCACCAGCTCTGAGGCCCATGTCCCAGAACCCCTTCTCCATCTATACAGCATTAGCATGTTACCGACTGTCATATTCAGCCTAGCACTCACATTTGTAGCGTGTATGAAGATTTTGGCCAGCTCTTCCACCCGGCTCGGACTCAGTCCCTCGGCATGCTTCTCTACCAGCTCACTGCCCCTCATCATCGCTTCCCTGTACTCTTCTGCCACATACTGCTCAATCCACTTCCAGTACTTGCTTCCCACCCTCACGGTGCTGGGATCTTCGTAGAGACGTTTGGCAATAATGCCGTAACCGATGAGACAAGGCAAAAGCGCAATCTGCAGAGCAAGATAGTCTTGCGACAGGCCGATGTCGAGCACATAACGGGTGTATGCCGTGGTGGCCTGGTCCTCTTCTTCTTCGATGATGTCGGCCTCCGATAGTCCGTACTCTTTACAGAAGTCGATGTGCAGCTTGATCTCTTCCTGGAGGGTGACGACTTGTTGCACGGAGTACCCAATGTCTCTCAGATTGCTAGATTTGTATGCAGACAGCGCGTTCGCTCTTGCAAATTGGACCTTCCTACTAGTCAGTTACTCTCTTCTACACGGGAAATGAATATGTTTCAACATATACTTACTAAGAAGAGGTAGTCCTGCACAAGGTAGTACATGAACTTCTCCACTGGCAATGTCCCAGCGCCCATACTCTGCACGAACTCGTGTTGGGTATATTCCTTCCACGGCTTCTGCACGTCTTCTCGGTCGAGCAGATAGCTAATAAAGTTGCCTGGCGTGAAAGGCAGCATGTACATCGAGTGGAAATGGTTGATGGGGCCGCTTCCCCCTCCCATATCGACAGCTGTCTTGATGCCTGCTTCAACGTACAGATTGGCCTTCTTGACCGCCTTGGCCATCGACATTCCCTCCGCCAGATTACACGCAATAGCGGATGCTAATGAACACCCTGTCCCATGCGTGTTCCTCGACTGCAGATACGGGCTCTCTAGCATTGTGACTCCAGTCTCACCCACGAGGATGTTCAAGACGACTTCCCTCTCGCTGTCGTGCGTGCTGACTACCCGGCCGTGGGTCAATGGTAAATGGCCCCCCTTCAGTAACACCCATTTGGGTCCTAGTGACCGGACATGCTGCGCCATCGAGACGATGTCATCAACATTCTTCGGATCAGGAATATCGTACCCGGCCGTTTGGAGAAGCAAGCGAGCCTCAGGAAGGTTTGGTGTGAGAAGCGTCGTGTGAGGCAGAAGGTGTTGAATCAGGGTTTCGATGGCTGATTCGGGAAGGAGCTGTGAGCCAGATGTTGACACCATTACCTGTTCAAGTAGTCAGCACAGCACGGAGCTCGTTTTGGTTCATATAAAGGGATCTAGAATGAAATCTGAGACGTACAGGATCAACGATACTGGTGTTGATCTCATGTCTCTTCAAAGCATCCGCAGCGACCATAATGGTCTCAGCAGATGCAAGCATGCCTGTATCTTATCAGCACATTCACCAAAGAATGGTGTCTCTCTGAATGTCATCATACCTGTCTTGACCACATCCACGCCCACATCTTCACAGACAGCATCGATCTGCTTCCGCACAAAGTCCGGCGGGGTATGGTGGATGTCCTGGACGCCTAGTGTGTTCTGGGCTGTCAAAGCAGTCGTAGCCGTCATAGCATAACAGCCATGCGCTGCAATGACCTTCTGATCTGCTTCTAGTCCGCTGTTGGCGTGGCAGCATGGTTAGTGGTGTGTGGCTGATGAAGGGCGGATGCATGCACGCGTACGTACGCCCCACCCGAACTGTCTGAGCCAGCGATTACTAGAATGCGTCTGGGTGCCATTGTCGGTCGAGAAGAGTATGCAGGCGTTGCTTCACTATCGTCTGGATATAACATGGTAAGATCCCCTACATCGTTTTCTCTAGACAACCCTGGAGCCCCACCATCCGCAAATACGCGTACGCGAGATCCACGTCATCGACTCGCACCTTTGATGCTGTCGCAGGCCGTGGAAGCTGCGCAGCCGACGCTGTGGAAGGTTGCACAAATTCGTACACCTGTGCGCGTGCTGCCTTTGACATCCTGGATGATATCCAGTGTTCTATCAATTATACCTAGGTCAGCTTTGAAGGAATCCATTTCCTAATATTGACAATTCGGTAGATCAGCGTAAGCAGAAGAAGCCTTGCCAGGCATCTTCAGTAACGTAAAAGTCTGAGCACATTGAGTCGCTTCTGTAAACAAGCAAGCATCTCATGGACCGGCCACGCCGACCCGCAGGTATCAAGCCACCATCGCCATCACGAACCCCAAGAGTACCATGTGCCTCATCGCGCAACAGAGGAAACCATTTCGATGCATCTTTCTTCTTTGCCTCTTCTAAAGCGTACTACACATCTGTGTATGATGCAGTTGGATAGCTGTAGTTCATGCACGTGTTCTTCAGGATGTTCAGCGTCCCGTTCAATCGACCAGTCTAGTGAACTAGTACATTATACTTGCGACTTCTCTCATTTGTGACATTATGTGCGAAACAGCAATAATGCTGTGATGTGTGCGCGAAGGTTAACAAACATTTCCTCCCTCGGAGTACCACACTTCCGGCAGTTTAATCTTAACGGCTCCATTGCAACCTTGCCACAAGTCTCAGAGTTGATAGCCTCCATGATCTTGCGGAAAGACAGGAGATACACTAGTTGAGACGGTGCATAAGATCTGATAAGCCGCTGGCATCGGAGATGCGAATGTATACCCATTGCGACAGCTGGAACTTGCTTTGGGCCTTGAACAGCCACTTCGTGCAATATGCGGTCGTCAGTGTCAGGCGACTACCACAGTCCTTTGATCTGCGATACACGTTGCGTAGGCTCAAACACTTCATTGCTGTCCGCCTTGTTCGTCTTCGACACACCACCACTGTCCGTGAATGTTGGAAAAGCTGCAGCATCGTTGTTGGCATTCGCGTCCCATCCCAGAGTCTCTTCCTTATCATAGTCTACCGGCGCCCAGGCTGCGTCCTCATCCTCCGGTACGAAGAGGCTTTCCGAATCGTCACGGACAGGTTGTGCTTGCAGTGCCGAGACTTGACGAGATCCTGGATTCCGCACTCGGCCAGAGGCATCGCGTCGCGATGCTGGTTGCACAGGCGGTGGCATATTAGATCGGAAGCTGCGACTATGTCCACGCTCCGCAGCTGTGGTTGAGGTCGTGCGAGAGGTTTGTCTGCTGCTCATTGCGTGCGTCGCAGGTGTTGGCGCAGATGGAGCGGCGGTGTGGTTGCCAGAAGTCATTAGCGTAAACTCGCAGAGCAGCCCATCGCTTCCATAGCTGAACTGGAGTGGTCGCGCTGGCTGGGAGTAAAAGGCCTTTAAGCTTGTCTTCATTGTGTCTGCATGGACGACTATTGCCTTGAAATCCTTGACGTTGATGATGATGTGCATACCCGCCTGCACAGTAAATTCCTCGAAGTCGGAAGTATTGACTGCGACGGCTGTGACAAGTGGATGCTTCAGGATTTCCTTCCCGTTCGAGATCTTTTCTGTGTAGCTCTTAAATACGCAGCGTCCGTCTTCACTCGCAAAGATATCGAGCATTTCGGTCTTGGTACCAAAATATTCAGCGTACTCCTTCATAGCCCCGGAGTGCATGCTCCACCTGTTTTTCGCCGCGTTGCGATCGAACAGTGCATGCATGACGTCCACGGCTTCATATGTGAGCTTGTAGGTCTTGATGACGCCCTGGTTGCAGATCATCTTGACGATGAATCGACATTGCGCCTCAGTTTCTCGCTCTTGCACGCTGACTTCACAGCGATCGATCGCACCATCACGCCCTAGCGGGTCGTACAAGCGACTTTTGAAGACCGACAAGAGCGCTTTGGTGTACATACTGCACGTGAAGCGGCCGTCAGGACCGCCATAAGTCGGCACACATTCATAGCTGGCGAAAAATTGTCGACCGTCTAATGTTATGGCGGCGTATGCGGATTTGGAAGAGTTGAGAGCGGTAAACGTGAACTGACGCAGGAGGTATGAGATGCCGGACTAGAAGGAAGAGCGGCAAACCTACCTTTTCGCGACGCGCTTCAATGGCTACAGTCTCGCTGAACTTGCCGAGGCAAACAAGTAGATCGTGAACCTTAGACGCTGCCTCGGGCGTCAGGGTGAAGTTGAGGACAACCATTTTGTCTTCGTGCGACTGCTCGCATTGTCGCAGGATGTTTGTGTGGAATCGCGACGAGCCCCGGCGACCGAAAGCGGGAAGAGCGCGTCAAACACGCGCTAGCGCATTGACATCATCGCGCCTACTCTCATGGGCGCCCATCTATTCACCTTTCTTAGGAGCACGATATCAGCCCTCGTTAGTGCAAACAAAATGACTCAGTCAGCGCTGCCTGATGATATTCTGCATCTCCTATGCGAAGAGCTTGCGAATCAAGAACAGTTCGACACACTCTTCAACTGTGCTTGCGCCAGCCGTGCTCTCGCCGTACCTGCATTAACTCATCTGTACAAGTATGTCGCAGTGGCCTCGCTACTTTATCGTCAATTAACTGACACAATCGTTAGATCTCATCATCTCGCCCCTGTTCGAGGTGGAGGAGAAGATCTCTATGGCTTACCAGCTGCCACCAAGCTTCTCACGATCCAAAAATGGTACGCAACCTTTATCGTGCGAACTGTATGAGGCAAACATTGACTCCGTACACCCATATTTAGGTCCATTCTTTGGCGATCAATTGTCGCATCTGCACTCGATGTCACACTGTTCCCATACTGCCGTTATATCAAATCGCTAGACTTTCGGGATCTGGGATATCTCCTCGATGACGACCAATTCCGTGCGAAAGTTTCCAAGTCAGTACAGCTTCGATGTCAGACACCACCAACTCTGATTGTAATATAGGCAATTCTTCTCCGGGCCGTTGAAGCAGTTCGAGAAGACTGAGACAGGGACGAACATCAAAGGCAGAAAGTATACTCGGATAAAGACAGCGGATATCATCGACGCGATTGGTGAAGGTTTGATAAATGCGCGAAGCTGTTCAGTACGATACTAACGTGGTGCAGTGGTCACACAGCATACCCCAACCCTGGAGATCATCAGCGGTGAACGTAAGTACATCCTTCCTCTCAACATTCGGATATGAGCTAACTATACTAGTCCAGCCTGGTGCTCTGGTACGATGGACGCCCCGGCTTCCTCGACTACAGAGCCTTGAGCTGTGGGACGGAAAGCCGCTAGAAGACGAACTGGTTCATGCATCTATCTACGACCACTGTCCGCAGTTCAAATCTCTTATGATCTATACCTGGGTCTCAGAAGACAATGATCACAAGTTCGCCAAATTCCTCTCCTCCATGCGACCGAACACGCTCCAAACACTCCAAACCATCAGCGACGTCAAAGCCGGCGCCGAGTCACTACTAGCTCTCAATCACCATGGAAGTTCATTAGAGGATCTGAGACTGTGCGTTTCGAACGAGTCGATACCGCATCTGTCGCTACTACAAGGATGTACAGCTTTAAGAACGCTGCGCATTGAGGACATCCATGGTACTGTAGACTTGGAAGCGACAGAACATGACGTCTTCCTCGAGACGACTGCCTGGTTACGCAAATGTTCAGATCTACAACGCCTCAGCTTCTCGAAAATGCAATCCGGAGCCGCACTCATCACGCCCGTACTGCTGGAAGAGAAGATACAACTCAGCAGCTTGGAGATAGACTCGTACACACTAAAAGATCACAAGACCTTCCATCAGGCTCTTGTACACCAGCAGTCTTCTCTGCGGGTGCTCTTTCTGAGTGGCGATACCGATGGCATGTTTCGAGACGATCTAGATACTCTTGTGGACTCTTTAAAGCAATTGACAGAGCTGCGAGATCTGCACCTCATCCTTCCGGAGGTGCTGCGGGATGAACATCTCGTCACCATTCTCGCTGAGCTCACAATGCTGGAGGATTTGTACGTAAGCGGCCTGGAGCTCAACGACATCGTGCTTCCTCACCTAGCCAGCTTGCCAAACTTGCGCACCGTTACTATTTCCGGCATATCCAAATTCACCATGGATGGTCTCCTGGATTTTGTATCGAGACTCGGCCCGGGTAATCAGGCCATTCGCCTCTCGATAGATATGGCAGACACAGATACGCTGCTCTCGGAAGAGGAGTTGACGCTGGTGAGGGATAATCTTGCGGAGAAGGCTGGTGGTACGTTGGAGTACATGGCGCTTCGAGGTATGTATCTGCGCGATGAGCAGGCGACAAACAAGACGGCATACTGACCACATTCGCCTAGATCCAAATGTTCCGGAGTTCGAAAGCGACTCCGACTGAGTTGTTCTTTGCACTGTTCAGATGCTGCGATTGAAGCTGGGCTATCATTCGACTTGTCTGTTGGATAAAGGATGTAAAAGAGGCTTCTGGCGAGACATTCTCAGGACTGGAATAGCTTTTCCAAGTACAATGATGAAGATAATAAGGGACTTGTTCCTCGCCCTCTCAACCTAGAAGAAAAAACATAACTGAACTTTTTGAAAGCAAAATAAGTACACCAGAAGAACAACCAGATGAGCCATGACATATTCAGTCCATGTCAGCATCGCTGTAATCTTGACTCTGATCAATGCGTTCTTCCAACACCGGTCCCCTTCGCTCGTTAACGTCTCTATCCAGCTGTGGGAACTGTTGCAGCAGCTCCATGAAGTTTGGTCTCAGGTGATCGTCCCCCCAATATGTCCACCAATGCTCCACAATGTATACGGCCAAGTAGTCCCTGACATCGTCCTGGGAAAGGGAGGTTGCGTCTTCTGCATAAACATGTCGACAGAATACCAAGACTTCCAACATCCCTGGTTGTATGCCCTTCAGTTTCTCAGCGACATGTTCCAGCATGTCCCACATGCCTAACTTTTCCGCGGTGATCCATGCTGCAACACATTGTGCAAAGGCTTCGTTCGTTTCCTCACCCTCTTGCGGGTTCCGATGACCAAATCCATCACTTTCTAGATATTCTGCGATGAATGTGAAATCTTCCGGGTTGATGTCGACAAGAGCAGGGTGTTTGAGCTCCCACATCCCGGCGTCATTGTGGTCGATCAGGAGGAGGCCCTGCTTGGAGTCTCTGAAGTATGGACGGTCCCACAGACACGATATTTGCAGGTTGTAGACTTCTTGGTCAGGCCCGACCAATACTTGTACGAATTCCTTGCTTTCGGAACTAGATTCTGTTAGCTGAGAGGGTATGAGAGATTGATAGGAAACTCACAGCTCACCCTCAATGGTATCGCTGATTGGTTCTTTCCGACCACGTCCCACGCCACCGAGCTGATGGTCGAGGAAGCCTATCTGTTGAAAGTGTCTCTGTCTCGATTCGGCCGTTCTTACCTCAGTCGAGTTATGGGCGCTGCTGTCGTCCGTTAGGTCTATTGGCGTGTCTCTGCGCATATTCAACCGATCTTGTGGGGATGGTACGGCCTGAAGTTGTCCATGGTCTCTTGAGGGCTGCGATGAGCTGGCGGCAGGTCTCGACGGTGCTTCCCATGCATTCAAGATCGTATCTGGAGCTCTGCTGGAGCCGGAGACGACAGAAACGCGACGATTGGCTGGGAACCGCGCAGGTTTTGATGGCGACTGTGATGAAGTCGGTGGATGTGAGAAGCTGTTCGCAATTCGCCCTTTCGACCGATTACCATAGAATTCTTTGCGGCTCTGCCGGAGAGCCTGTCTCATTTCTGGATCTGAGTCTGAATCATCGCCCGAGTCGTTCATGTTAGTGTCCGAGCCCGAAGCCTCGTTGGCTAGATTCATCAGTTGCTTTCGCCATTGATCAATGCCCATATGCTCATCAAGTGCTTTGCTCGCCATCTCATATGCATCACCAAGTCCTGGCGTGATTTCGATAACCTCTTCGTGCGTGTAGGGCGTGAAAGGGTCGTACTCCCTCATGTCTGCGGCATGCGCCCAGCGACTTGTCGAGTTAGCAGGGTCAAGACATTGTTCAAGCTTCAAGTTTCTTACAAGACCAGATCCTCGCCCATCAGTAAGACCAGAGTTGATTTCCCATGTGGACGAGTTCCCAACACGTCCCCCGGTGCCATATTATCGTCGCAAATGACCGCCGGCCATAGCGGGAAGAATAAACCAGGAGTCCTATACTGCACCATATCGCCTGGCGATAGCCGCATCGTGATGGCCTTGATTATGTGATGTGGGGTCGTTTGTTTGGGGAGTGACAGATAGGAATGAGAGCTGGTGAGCGACAGTTGTGTGACAGCTGTAGATCGAATTTCAACCTATTGGGAGGAGGAAGAATTGAGCAGTGTTGTATGTGAGCGTCAAAACGAAGCCTGACATAACTAGACATCGTGTGGATACGTTCCCAGGGTAAAGGTGGGCTTCGGTGAGGGCCATCATGCCAGGTGAAAGACGAAAACAGACCCTCACGCGCGACAAGTCCCTCATAACCATTATCAGACCGAAACATGATGAGGCTAGGGCTTATGAGTCGTGTGCCGCTATTTGAAAGTGTCGTGTGTTGTTATGGTCAAGTAGCAGAGAGGGATGCGGAGTTCATAGCTCACATCTCGGAGGTTGACTAAGCTGCCCGCAACAGCGAAGCCAAGGACATCTGGCTTCAACATCTCGACCACGAATTCCCCGACGCGCAAGTCGCCGCGCCGCCCACCCCTACACATATCCCCGAATACGCCTGCGGTGAATTCATATTCTCAAGACGCGAGTTTACGACCCGGTCGCGCGCCCCACGTCCCACTCCACGATCAACGAGCGCACCTCTACCTCCAACCTTCGCATCAGCATTCCCGATCCGCAGCTATGTTGGGCCTTGCGAATATGCAGCCGCGGCAACTCGCCGCACAAGTCCTGAACTTCGCGCTCGTCCTGTCAACCGCCTTCATGATGTGGAAAGGACTGTCCGTGGTCTCCGACTCGCCCTCGCCCATTGTCGTCGTTCTGTCAGGATCCATGGAGCCTGCATTCCAACGAGGAGATCTGCTGTTCCTGTGGAACCGGGGGGCAGATACACAAGTGGGCGAAATTGTGGTGTACAACGTCAAGGGCAAAGACATCCCGATCGTGCATCGCGTTGTGAGGAGATATGGAGGAGGGTGAGTCGCGCTCTTTTCCTTTCGCTGTGACTGAGGTTCTCCATGAGGGTCGTACGAGTCAAGATCAGCTCGCAGGTTTTCAGACGTTACCACAAAGCTCATGCTGACCCAACTACTAGCAAAACACCGCTCCGCCTCCTGACCAAGGGCGACAACAACCTCGCGGACGACACCGAACTCTACGCCGCCGGCCAATCCTTCCTGAACCGCAAAGAAGATGTCATCGGAAGCGTCGTCGGCTTCATACCATTCGTTGGATACGTTACCATCCTGTTGAGCGAGCATCCATGGCTGAAGCAGGTCATGTTAGGCATGATGGGTGTGATGGTGGTTTTACAAAGAGAGTAGTCCTTGCGGATTTGCATTGGGTACCTTTCACGTTCGAACGATATCTTAGCAAAAGGTGGATGAAAAAGATACGTGGGAACGATGTGGTTGGTCTCCCCCTTGACTACCATGATCTATGTGTTTCTACTGTCGGGAGGCGGCAAAGCTAGGCGTTCAAATCATACCCAGACAGTGTTCAATATTTACTAAAGTCGAAGAGTTATACCAGCCATCCAGCTTTCATCCAGCTACGTTCTTTAGACCGTAGACAAGCGCCTCACGCGCATCTTGCATTCACTAGTGAGCACATCTAAGCACACTTCAGGAATTTATTTCCTAACAAGAGATTAATCGCCTGCACCTTCCCAATGCTTCCCAAAATGACGTTCACCTACCTTCCGTCTACATCACTAAGACTTCACTCCCACGCGACACCCCCGGCAAAAAACACACCCCACCTTCCGTAAAAGAGCGGCAAAAAGAAAGCAATGCGCCGTACGGGGTTTGACTGTTCAATGTTAGCGGCATGGTTCGAATTGATGCATGGTTTGGCATCCTACACCCGTGATCCCCGCCTGGTCCTTCGTCCGATGTACGATGGGAAGGCGATAGCATACCACTAGCCCAACGGCGCTTTGATGCAATGATCGATTGATGGCATAGGAACGAGTTAGAGACATTATGTAGGCGACTTGAGATAGAGTGAGTGGATTGAGGGGGTGGGGTCCGGGAAAGTGTGGTTGTGAAGCCAGGGAAACAACCCCTACCGTGAATGCGGGCACCCGGTTCGGCGGTGTGAGGAAACGTCAAAGACCTGTCGCTAGAGGGCCAACTTCTGGTTGCTACGAACGGAAGGGTCTATCACGCCGTCATGGCCTGCTTTTGACAGCAGGTAAGACACAAACTTCAACGTCAGGGGCTGACCTGGGACCTGAGCTACTATCAGCATGCGTAGTGCTACGCCCAAGCCTGATCGCATCAACATCATGGTCACACAGCAGAGGAAACATTGTAGAAGCAGCAAAGACTTTCCATACCGCAATTGCTAGTGTACATAGACTTGGTCATGAGCTTCGTGATGTTCCTTTCACGACGTCGAGGGGAAGACGCCCAAACATCATGACCGCCCGCCATCAGCGTGGTTTGCACTGACCGCCAGCGTCCTTTTCGAAATGAACCACAGATTGGCTAGCCGAAGACCTTCCTCCGCGAGAGATAACGAACCCATTAAGAAGTAGGAAGATCACAAATGAAATCGAGACAGGCTTGGTAGCCCGAGCCGCCCATGACAAGACATCTTCAACGCTGTTGGTGGAAGCACGAATGAGGCGATTGCCTCTACTCGGACTCCTCCTCTTCTTCCTCGGCGTTCTGGTGATGGTTAGTCAACTTATCATCAATTTGAAGTGCATGCATGAACATACCTGGTAGGCGGCCTTCTCCTCCTCGTACCGCTTCTTATCGGCGGCAGCCTTGGCCTCGTAGGGAGTGCGCTGCTTCTCGTTCAGGGCCTTCCACTTCTCGCCAAGAACCTTGCCGACCTCGCCTGTTCCATGTTAGAGGGGAGTCAAAGACGGAGAAAGAGCGCAAACATACCGAACTTGATACCGGGGTTGTCCTCACGGACCTTCTCGCGCTGCTCGTTGGCGAAGAACATGTATGCGGAAAGACCACGCTTGGGCGCGTTGGGGTCTGCTGGAGTCAGTGCCCGAGTCTGCAGATGCACGTGAGCTGCTTACCCTTCTTCTTCTTGCCGCCGTCAGCCTTGGACTTAGGCGCGGCCTTGCGGGTGGTCTTCTCCTTGGGCATAGTGGTGGTTGAGTGGTGTATATGGCTGTGGTTCCTTGTTAGCTGCTGTTGGGGTTGCAAGCAGCGAGTAGG